TATTTCTGATTCTACTGTGCCTCAAGCGATGTTCCAATCAAACCAAACCCAATTATATATCTTCAAATTATAATTTTACTGTGAAACCCTGAAAGTAACTTTATCATCCTGCTTTTATCTGCCGTCATCTGCACCTGTTTACTGACTATGTGGACGTATCTTACCCTTTAATGGACCGCAGTGTTGCAGGGACCCTGAGATTGTATTGGTGATTGCTCCGTGTTGTTTTGCCAGGAGTTAGGGGGCTATATTAGGAGTGAGCTCTGCAGGTTGAGATAAGATCAGAACTGAGTTTAGCCCAGGTGTTCCATTTGTTTCAATTGTCCAAACCTTAGCTAAACTATCGACAAAGCTGCTGTCAAAGAGAGACGGTGTGATGACCCAATAAATCCATAATCCCTGCATCAATAATTATCTGGAAAACCTCATTTATTTGACACATACAGCACAAAGCATTATATTACACATTGTAACTTTACAAAAGATTAAATGTCTTATCCTGCTGACCAACAGACAAGCAAACACACTATTGGAGCCGATGATGTAACCTCCTTGACCTACGGTTTAACCTTTTCATTATTTAGAGGAGATTTTCCAAAGATCATCTCATTACTCCTGAAGATGTTTCTCACACCCTGGCTGCCGCCAGTAGTATCATATACACTGTCGGGAGATAAGTTGTGCTTCCTCTGAGTCGTGGCCTACTTCAGAGAGAGCAGCCTTCACGGCGCCACCGTGGTGCTAAAGGGACGAGGATCTGGTGCTAAATCGTACAAAAGAAAACCCTGTCTGAGACGCACAGAGAAGCTCTGAAGAGAAAGCACATGACGGTGCTACTGTAGCTAGATTTTCATTTTTTTTAATAAAATCCAGGGTCAGATGAAAGCTATCATGGCCTAAATTTAAAAGTTGACCAATTTCACACAGATTAAAACTGTCGAATGAGATCCATTCAATAGTTTTTAGGGTTTTTTGCACACTCGGCATTACATTCATCCATCCCATAATGGACCCACAGGCCATCATTAGCCTCGGTGCAGCTCTTACTGTACATGCACGCTCTCACCACAACAAAGAAACGGCAGACTCAGCAAGAGCAAACTGCGGCCTCGGCACCAGAATTGACCCGACATGTACAGTATTGATATCAAGAAGCCATTCGAGGTGAACTTAAGACATTTGAGTTTGCGCATGGTATGGATTTATCAAATATTTAATAGCCACTCTTCTCCGGTTCATGGATCAATTGATTTAGGGTTAGCAAGGTTTTCCCCTCCAGCCTGACTTTGAGATGAATCTCTTGAAGGATTGTTGATGATTGATCAACTTCAACTCATTTTGTCGAGTGATTTTCTCATGTTCATTTGTCACTATGTGTGCGTCTTTGTCAGCTCATTGAGCAGCAGACCATTTTACGGCTTTATTTTGCTATGTCTCAAGGTAATTATATTTTACTGAAGCATTTGTCTTTGTTTATAACCCGTAAGGCATTCAATCCTATTATCTTCTGTTGCTGCGGGCAGAGACAGCTTTGTTACTCGGAGATGGATATTATAAAGGACATTTCTGATGAGATGCAACATGTAATATGATTATCTTTCAAGGAAGGCAAAAGTATGGCATGGCTTTGTGTGCACGTCCCGACTGCATCAGTCCAATGTTTTGCAGAATCCTCCATGTTGATATACGTGATTCTTCAGGACAACAACATCCATTTTAGTTTTCCAGGAAAATCGTAACCTTTGACCTTTGTGGGTAATGTCGCCAGAGCCTGCCAGAGCTGCTCTTGACATTAACACACACACACACACACACACACACACACACACACACACACACACACACACACACACACACACACACACACACACACACACACACACACACACACTCAAGCGTCAGATCCATTTAGTCAATAAACTCAAAGGGCATACATTGATCAGACAGCCATGACTGCATGCTCTTTTCCCACCTGATTAAACTCTGTGTCACTCAAACTCTGCTTTATTTATAGATTGTTTTGTATTGCCTTCATGTTCTTTTAGCTTTTCACCAACAGTCATTCTTCCTATTAGTTAAAGGACAGATCGTTTCAGGCAGACATTGTTCTGGTGCATACTGATGCATGCAACATTGTCCTTGAGCTCACAGCTAGAAAACATGTCTCTGTCTAAAGTTCTCTTTAAGGACAATATCACTTTGTAACAAAAGAAAACCATCTTTCTAGTTCATGCCCTCACTCAGACACGCCCACCCCCATCACTCAGGAAGGTGAGTGTCAGGCAGGTAACAGATGGGAGCTTCACTTTGTCTCTTTATCCTCTAAATCTCAATGTTATTGTGTCCTTAAAAAGGGCACTATGACCTGTTCTGACTGTGAGGCTTTAGCAGAATCAACTCGCTCCCTAATGTTGGTTATTGTATACTTTGGCTAGGGCTGAAATATATAAAATAATGTTTTAAGGTCACATGCATTCTGCCTCTTTACTGAGAATGATCTCAAAAGACATTTACCTGGTAGATAAAGCATGCAGACATCCTGACAAACTCACTCAACCTTAGAGCGATACCGTTAATCTTCAGATGATTCCCCTCTCGACCTCCATGATATTGCCAGACCAGCTTGCAGATATATGATTTAATTATACCCACTATGTCCTTATACTATAGCCCAGATCTATAAAGTCCTCCTAAAACTCCCACCTGCCATATTGACTTTAATTGACTAGCTCTGTCTCAGCTATAACTTCCCCTGCGAGGACATTTTATTATTCAGGTTTGCTGTGATCGACTGCAGACTGTAGGCAAGGTGTTGAACTTCTTAATGACTTTCAAAATCACAGAGCACAGAAAATAAGAGCCTGTGTGTTGTGGTCATTAATTAAACCTCGGACAGACCGCTTTAGTTTACCAATCAAGCTGCTTACGTTTGAGCGACACGAGGTAAACCACACTTTTGACTGTGTGAAAAGTCGACCCCTAATGAGCTGTCACATTACACTCAGTTCAGATTAGTACATTACAATTTGTTGGGAGACCTTTTAATAAGTAATGTAAGTTAACATACTGCTTATGACTAAGTTTAGCTGCTGTAGGTTTACATGTAGATGCACACAAACAAACTAGAAAGGGAACTCATCCCGCACTTATTTTCAAATATAACCACATTCAGTGCTTTAAACCAACAGTGTGTTGTTGTCCTGAATAACTAGCAGTGATGCAGCCTGATGTCTAGATGACCTTTATAGAGTGTTGCAGGAATGAGTCATAAACCCGGGAAACACATTTGACCACTTCCTGTCCCCTTGTCTGGATGTCAATGGTTTTGGAAACCTGGGAAATGCTGCCTTTAGGATCCACTTCAGAAATACGACATCCCTGCACCACTCTATCAGACCTTCTCCTCTTGCATGTCCAGCGTCCTCTTGTTAAGTTCTGAGGCTGTTGGTTGCCTGGGTAACCGTAAGCCTACCTGTATTTCAGAGTACCCTCAGATTGTCGACAGGCCGGGGGTGAGAGCTCGAATCATGAGGCTCTTCCCGTGCTCCGCAGCCACAAAGTCTTCTTCCAGCTCTCAAAGCAAGTCCTCAAGGCTCTCTGTGCTGATGTTTGTTGTTGTTTAAGATGCTTTTCCTATGAACATAAAGGCTTTAGTCTGAAATCAATTTGACTACTCAATGAAGGACGTTTGGGTTTTGAAGTTGAATGAATAAAAAGAATGGATGTTGAATACGTCGATGTGATATTTGTTTTTCAGATTAGACTGTTTTGTCAGTGTTTTCTACACTCATTTGTTCACGATTGAAAAAATACATGTTATTTTGTAGAATACTTTCATCATATTCATCCCGTTTAAGGTCATCTTTTGGACTTTAACCCAGAATACAGCTGTTACTGTGAAATCAAAACCCACTATAACATGATTTAGTTTGTGGCCATAACTTATATAAACAAACACACATATGTATTTCAAGCCAAAGCATGATCAATTTCTTTAAAATATACGTTGTTTCAATTTAGATTTTTTGTGTTTAACATCTTTCAACCAAAACATAGAGTCCATGTACCATGTTTATATTCACACCCATAACTGTAACAAGCATACTTATTGAAGCCAAACCATCATTTTCTTCTCAGAAAAAGCTATTTTAAATACAGCGTTACTCACGTAATAAAAATCTGTTATTCTTATCTGTTCATATCTGCAGCTATACGTCTACATTCTGGACTCATTTTAACGATGGAAATGAGATTAAGCTGCTGTTTTATTTCTTGACATAATATCCCTTCACCTCACCTATGAATACCGAGCATTAGCTCCACATCAGCGGCATAATGGTGGTCAGTTAGATGAGGGGGCTCTTTGGTTTTGTGCCACAGCAGAACAGTTGAAGCTAATGAGGCGTTCAGGGTCTGTGTCTCCCGTCAGGTGTTTGAGAGACCCTGCAACGTCAAGAGGATTCAAACTCTGCGCTGAGAGGACGGTGTGGTCTCTGACAGCAGCTGCCTTCATTACAGCCCATTAAACAGTTTCACAGGGTTCATGAAGAGGACGTGCTCGGGGGCATCAATAACACTAATTATCTCTGCATTTAGTGAAGAGAAGAAGGAGCTTTTTGTTTGAAGTGAAGTAACATTTGCAAATAAAAATACTCGATACCATTCTACAACTGAAATGCATTTAATTGATGCCATTCCTGCTAATGTGTTTATTACATCTATTATGATGTTTGCATAGTTTATTAGGGTCACATCATAATTGTTCTTATAATTTTTTTTTAAAAACAGTTTTGTGAATAAAAGGAACTGAATACAAATGGGAATCACTGTATTTGTGTGTGTCACTATTAAAAGCCAAAATGTGAAAAAGTTGCATATATCTGTTTATTTTTTGAGCAGTTGCTGATATTGAAATCTCAAACTATAGCTTTAAGCACGCTCATTTGCAGCAGACTCTGTAGCATCTGTGCACATCTGACCCTCCTCCTCTTCCTCTGCAGACAGCGTCGAAGATGAGCTTGAACTGTCGACAGTCCGCCATCGCCCCGAGGGCCTGGAGCAGCTTGAAGCCCAGACGCGGTTCTCCCGGAAGGAGCTGCAGATCCTTTACCGCGGCTTCAAAAACGTGAGTGACGGGAAGCCACGTATTGTGAAGCTCAGTGGGCTTTATTTCCTATTTTTGGTTGAAATCAAATTGCTGTATTTGTGGAATAGGCGAGGCAAACAAAGTAAAACAAGGCAAGGCAAACCATAAACTCGTTCAGAAACAAAATGCGTCCAACAACATCAAGACTTTCACAAAGACTGAAAGAAAAAACTGAACTTAAATGCACACAAGACTAATCACACAAATAAGACACAGGTGGGGAGGGAAGGGGGGGGGTGAACACTTTTCAAAATAAAACAGGAAACCAAAGACAAATCTTGACGGGACAAAATAAAACAGGAAAAACTAATACGGATCATAACAATTTATTCTTTTTTTATATCCGGATGTAGTTGAAAGGAGTTTGATCTATTCCTTTCAATAATAAAAATCAATTCTCTGATAAATGCTATTTTGCTGAATCATCTTCATCCCAACACTATCAAGTGGTGTGCTTACGACGAGAATGAAATCCCGTGCCGAGGATAATTAGCTGGTACCTGCGACACGTTGTTACTGATGAGCAATCAGTTCAGAGTCCTCCGGAGCAGCTCGTATAAAACCTCCTCCCCTCTACGTCACCTCTGCTGTGAGGCGTAATGAGATGATCCAGAATTAACTCAACCCAAAATGTCTGGCATTGAAAGAGAAAGAGCGAAAGTCCTGTGATAGAGTCCCCCCACTGGGCTTCAGCTTCCTGTTGAGTCTGCACTGTGCTCCAGCCATTAGTCCCTTCCACTTGAGACAGGTAAGAAGTGCACTAATGAGACCTGTATGTGCTGCTCACTCTGCCATGCTTCCGTTAACACTGAGAAAGTGAATCGTGCGTGTAGGAACCCTCCAACATTATTTTCCTGTTCATCCATTAGATCACCACTTCGGTTCAGTTATGAATATCTCAACATTTAGATGGATTGCTACAAAATGTTGAGCAAACACTGATGTTACCCTCATGATAAATTACAATCATGCTGGTTGTTCCTTGATTGTTCACCTCCTAGCGCAACCATTGAGTCAGCCTTATAATGTTTCCAGTACAATAAAGTCTATGAGAACATACTGTAACTCAATTCATGTATTACCTAAGTAAATATGTCCCTGTTGAGTCTAGCTGTGGTATCAATATCTTATTGTAGTCCCCTTAAATACAAAATGGTGATTCTTCTTAACTAACTTATGGTCCTACTTAAAGTCAAATAGACGATAAAGCAGCGTATGATTTAGGGCTGGGATACATAGTGATCGACAGGTTGCTACTACATCATTGTTTATGTTTTCGTTTAACTTAAGCCCTTTCAGTTTGTGTTTGGTGCCTAAAAATGTCTCTTCAAGGTCTGGTTGTACAAAGCTCCAACCTTCCGTGTCACTTCTGTTTACAAAAAACAAATGGCTTCAGTGAAAGGCCTGTGCACACACATCTCTTTGTTTGTCACTCATCACTGCTGTGTAATTAGACAGATGTTGTTGTCTCCAAAGTCAAGATTAGCCCCAGAGAGCTAGTCATGGCACTTGAAGCTACTAAATACCTATTGTCCGTCGTCCAAAGACCATTTTTAACTGTCAGGGTCAAACACTCGTCTCTGAATTGCTCCAACTCTGTGACTTTGGCAGAGCTCTTAAGGTCCGGACAGACTAATCAGAGCTGGCTTTGTTCCCGTGAGGAGGAGTGTGGCCCCTTCGTCCTTGTTGTGCAGGGTTTCCGAGCTAACCAAAAGCCTGTGGGTGGCAGGAGGAGGTCAATTGTCTCTACAACACACTTTAAGAGACTTCCAGAGTGGAGCTTTGTCTTGTATAGATCCAGGAATATGTCGAGCAGGGAACAAAATAACTCCTGGGTCTAGGTCCTGCTCTTAAGGATGGATTTCATTCTTGAAGGTGGAGAAATCTTTGAGTTCACACTACAGGATATTACACAATATTGTCCTCGCGTCTGGCGGGGCTTTCACAGTCCGGGACACGGCCTCGGGAATCAGATTAAGATCTCTCAGTTTTGATTCCATCAGCGTCTGTTCGCACGTTTTTATTTTATTCCCCACAGACCTTACTGCCGCGTCGCTTCACCAGTCTCAGAAAGGAATTTCATGCCTAGCCGGCTTTGCATTTCACAGATTGTATTTGTGATTTTATTATCATGGATAAACTGATTACACGAGCATATCAAATGGATACAAATACGTGTTCTGACCCCTCACTCTCCCTAATTAGATTGTCAAATAATAATGTGTGAAATTTAACAACATACAAAGGCAAGGGAACAATTCGATTCGACACAACACACTACTTTCACGCATGATTTCAGTTTGGATTAGAGGTAAACAAATATGTGAAAAACTAGAGATAAGATACAGGAGTAAATAAGAATAAATTCACTTTTATGTACCATGCATGTTAAGAAATGTACGCTGAGGCACTTCCTTAGAATATAAATGAACAAATATAAAAATATTATTGGGTAGAGAGTGAGTGAGGTCCTGACTTTTAGCTCTGCGACATCAAAGTTTATCCCGATGGGACCTGAAGGCAGCTCAGGTGTGAAGAAACTATTTGAGTGAACTTTAAATTGAACTGCAGAGCTTGTGCATTGTACGTGATGATAACTAGATAAAACCCATTCTAAATCCAATAACTGTGTCATCCTGAGGCGGAGGAGAAACACAATCAGATGAACTCTGTCGGTGTGAGACTTCATCACAACGTTTTTACTGACCTTTACTTCTCCTTCAGGTGTGTGAGGAAGAAGAAGAAGCAGCCATTTTGTGACCTTCTTAATCAGTGTGCTATTAGTGTTGACAGCTAAAATTACCCATCTGTTTACAGTACACACACTCACACACATTGCATTACATGTTAGATAAACCTCCCCCTCCTTTCTCAAAGTACTTAATTACATTTCTCTGCACAGGTTGACAGCCCATTTACTGCAGAACTTAAACACTGCTTTTATTAACAGAAGCTCCACAAACAACCACTAAATGTGTCAGAAGGCTCAAGGTTTTCCCCAAATTGCGAAATACTTGCTTCTTTGAATCGATCTTCTAATCAAACTCATCAGCATTAAGGAAACAAAATGTTGTCATCTGTCTGTACAATTTATGTTATTCTCAAATGTAGCAACTGTAACTAATTCCAATTTGAAGCAAGACAATAGTCTCATCTTTGTGTTTTCAGCGCCTCCATTGTGTTTCTGATCACACATGGTCACAGGAAGCAGGAAGACTCTTACTGGGTCAAAATGAGGAAACGGTTTGTCTCAAAGAAAAGAAATGGAGCACAAAACTCTCCTGAACAAAAGTGAATCAGAGTTTGAATCTACATCATTTAGATTCTCAGATAAAAACGTTGTTCTTTATTTGCTGCTGTTTGATGTCTTTTGTATCAGACATGTTCATATTATTGTGTCCCTCCATACAGTTTGTTCCTTATCTTTGATTTCCTTTGTATTCAAAAACCCAGACGCACATCTGCCTCCCCTTCCAGACAATCCTCTTTACAGCTGCATAACGTCCTCTCCCCCTAAGGTCCAATATCCTGCCACAGTGTGCAGCATCACTGAAGACATTGAACCTGTAGAAGAAGCTTTATTACCTGAGTGTTTGGGACACACTGAAATGCTGACATGTGTTTAATCAAAAGAGGTCAGAAACATTACAGTTGCAGCTGCTGTTAAAGGGGCCAATTTAGCTTTTGGGGGTTTTCCTTTAGTGTGCTACAGTATATAGGTTTTGGTGCATGTGAATGGTGTGCAAAGGTTAAAATCCCTAAAAAAAAAAATGCCTTTATGGGAATCCTTTTTTTACTTCTGCAACATTTTGAGATCACTCTAACACTAGCGCTCAACACATTTTACATTTAAGTTGTTTTAAAATATTGTGATCTAATACAAAATAAATTCAAAAGTAATGTTTGGACCACATTGTAAGGCTGGCTTTAGTTTGGTTAAGATCTGGCAGAAGGACTTTAGTTTCATTGTTGTCTCATTTGTGGTCTCATACTAATATTCTTTCAAGCTACAGGAGCTTATTAAAAAGTTTGCGAGTTCTCACAAAAGTGCATATTTCTTCCCTTCATGTTTCTTTCATGGCTATTTAGTTTTTCGGGTTAAAAAAACAGATTTAAAGTTCTTATAACATTTACTCTTATTCTCTACTCTCATTAAAGAGAATGTATCTTAAAGGTTGAACCGCTGTATGCAAGACGTGTGCTCCTAAAAATGGACTGTTCAGTGAAGTGTGTGCACTTCAGGAGGTTTCAGTCGCACACGTTGAACTCAGATGTAAAGACTTTAATAAATGAGCGAGTCTAAAGGCCCTGACACACCAACCCGATGTTGGGAGTCAGAGGCCGTCAGAGGCCGTCGGGCATTCGCGGCGCCGTAGTCAGGTTGGTGTGTCCCGCACATAGACTGTATATATAAAGGTCCCGCACCGTCTGCCGTCACACGCCTTATTTGGACTGCCTGACCCGATGCATGGCCGATTCAACATGTTGAATCGGCCATGCATCGGGCCAAGCAATCACTCTGATTGGCTGTTCAGCTAGCGAATCAGAAGCGAAACGGAAGTGAGGGACGTAAACAAACGATTTAAGAAGTCACACACTCGTGCGACACATGGCCAAGACGCAGGAGGACACGGCGACGCAACAGTCGGCTTCGGCGAGTTCTCTGGTGTCTGCTTGGTGTGTCAGGGCCTTTAAACGTGCATCTCCTCTCTGTCTTTCAGGAGTGTCCCAGCGGAGTCGTCAACGAGGACACTTTTAAAGACATCTACGCTCAGTTCTTCCCTCAAGGAGGTTTGTGTCATGTGAGCCCTCGGTCATGTTATTCAAACTGTACTTCCTTCCAAGAAAAGGCAGGGGGTGTTTTGTATGTGCAGGCTGGAGCTCATCGTGATGCAAAGATGGTTCCCGAGTAACAAGAGGGAGACATTAGGAGGCTTTGATGTATCTGTTCACAGAGAAGAAGAAGAAGAGCGATTTCCCCCCCTCTCATCATAAAAGAAAAATACATTGTGATTCTTTGAAGTTGTCCACCAAAGTTTCCTTTGAGCTGTTTTCTGTGTTTTTCTGATTTCATGTTTGTGCTCTCCGTAGATGCTTCAACCTATGCCCACTTCCTATTCAACGCATTCGACACAGATCACAACGGCTCTGTGAGTTTTGAGGTGGGTATTATGATATTTCTATTCCTAAAATAAAGAAACGACATCGTCCTTCATATCAAGGACTGCAGTGCTGAACGTGTCCGTCACTTAAACCTCCTCATGGGCATTGTGTAACGTGCAGGTCGGTTTGTAAATGAGCCCGAGTCTGTTAACGCACACCTGATTAATATTTATGAAAAGCAGATTTTTGCTTATAAGATCAAAAAAGCCTTCTTCTAATCTAATGTGCAGTTCATTATGAGATTGTTAGTAACTGGAATAAAGAGGTGCTTCATCATGTTCCTCTGACTTAACATCCTGCAGGAAAGTTAGCTGAAATATAACCTGCATGTAATATTGTTACTTGATGATTTGTTTATCTCATAGGAGTAGCATAAAGCTGTTTTTTAAATATCAATATGTTGGATATTTCTCAGTGAGTCTTGTTTTCTCTGCAGGATTTTGTGATGGGTCTCTCTATCCTCCTGCGAGGATCCATCCAGGAAAAACTCAACTGGGCTTTCAACCTTTATGATATTAATAAAGACGGATACATCACTAAGGAGGTATGTCCCTTCATACTTGAAACACCCACATATCTTACAGTATACCGTTTGTGTTAACACTTTTAACCACTTTTGAAAGTCATTTCATTAAAAGCTGTTAACGGTCTGTGGATGTCATTTTTCATATCTTTGAACACATTAGAAATAGTATTCACCTTAATTGAATATGAGTAGCAGCAGAAATCTGCATGCTGTATTTGGGCCATTGTTTATTCTAAGAGAAAAACTCTTTATTTCTAAGATATACATGACTTTATTCTATGTATTTACAAGTGGTACATTTCAATTTTCTTTGAATTTGTGAGTTTATTCCTCATGGATGTAAACTGTGTTTTTTCTCAAATATTACCCCCCATCATAGATAAATAATGTGTAATTGTTCGGCCTACAATGGTACTTTGAAGCAGCAGTAGAAGCTTCTTTAAGAACATCAAATCTAAATGATCTTTACAGCTCCCCAGGTGTAAAGAACTTTAATAGTCTACTCTTTTTGCCTTTTTATCTGAACTGTCCCTTTGGGGTCCCAATGTCCCCGATGTGCAACAGATAAAGGATATTTGATTTGATTTTGGTAACCTGACCCTTTGTGTGTGTTGCAGGAAATGCTAGACATCATGAAGGCCATCTACGACATGATGGGAAAATGCACGTACCCCGCCCTCAGAGAGGAGACGCCTCGGCAGCATGTCGAAATCTTCTTTCAGGCAAGTGTTTCTCTAACTGTCGATCACAGTAAAGAGGCCTCCTCTCACCTCTCCTCTCTCCTCCTCTTTAACAGAAGATGGATAAGAACAAAGACGGGGTGGTAACCATCGACGAGTTCATCGACTGCTGCCAAAACGTAAGCTGGACGTCCTGAATCCGTTCTGTCTCTCTCCTGGTGTCACTCTTTCCTTTTCTCCTCACGGTGTTTCCTCTCTGTGTGCAGGATGAGAACATCATGCGATCGATGCACCTCTTTGAAAATGTTCTTTAACTCTTGGCTGGCGGGGGCGGTGGAGGCTTTGGAGGAGAACGTCACCTTGACTCGGACTCTAACTGTGTACAGTGTGCTATGCAGACCTCTGATGAAAGATATGATATTGTTCATTCATATTGCTGTGAGGAGGAGGCAATATGGTGCGGACACTCTGGAACGGGCTGCCTTTTGAACATTTGATTTTTCATAAACTTTGTTGCATAAACACGAAATGAAAGGAAAGTAGAAAGTACTTTACTTCAAGGTTGGTTTCCCTCCAATAGTCTCTGGAGTGTCTCTGACATTATAATCACCCGGGGAGAGATCTGTGATGAAGAGGAGGCTTCTTTCTGCTGCAGCCTTGTTTCATTTACTGCCAAGTGAAATCACTGTGACCTTTTACTAAGGCTGCAACTAACGATGATTTGGTCTTTAAAATATAAAAAATATTATATTAACAATTAGTAAAATATCTAAATAGTTGATAATCATTTGTTTGTCAACTAACTGTTGCAGCTCTACTTTTATAGCACCAATACAAAACACCTGAACAAATGATCTCTTGACTGGCTCTCCTTTCCAGAGTGTTCTCACCCGACTTAGTGAATAATCGTCTTTTTGCATTTAAATAAGAAAACAACATTCATTGTACTATTTTCAATTGTAAATACTAATAGATAAAGCATTAGATAAAAACTCTATGAGAAACTTTTCAACGGTTCATGTTTACTTGCCAACTAGAATGAGACAACACAAGGATTGTATTGATGTCACAAACCACTGATGGTTCGTCGACAGAAGCACACAGGTAGCTATATTTACCGCCAGTTTAACTTAAGACAACGACATCTTCCGTCATGACATAAATGCTGCTTTCAGTGCGTTTCATTTAACCCAGTGTACGAATATTCCCTGTAAAGCAACAGACTACATCAACTTGTTTTTATTTTGTCCACTGTTTAAAGCAGGTTATTTATATTAAGGTATTATTGTACAAAAGATTGTTGGTTGTATATTATTAAATGAACGTTTGCTCTGGGGATGGATTTCAGGACTTATTCATAATTCACTGTTTTTAAAAAGAAGAGGGGTTCTGTGTTATACTCATCATGTTTGGGTGTGTTTCCTCCTGTCAAAGTGCAGGTGATCACTTTCTGCTTCCTCTGATTAAAGCATGTGAGCAAACACAAAGCATGCTGGGTAAAAGTCTCTTACTGACTTCTTGTTGCTTGTTAGAAACTACTGAATGAAGAGAGGACATCATTTAAGTAAATGATTGAGTGTTTCTTCATTTTTCACAATGATTTAGATACAGGAAGTATCTGTAAAATCAGCCGGAAGTTGTTTTTGTATTCAAAGTGTTGAAACGGTATGTGACAAACATTACATTTGCTCAGTGAGGCATGTTGGACTTGTGTTCTTTTTACTCATGTTATTGGACATCACGTGTACATTTCCATCAACAAAATGCCATGCTGTTCCTTGATTTGTGTTTGTGTGCCTTACTGTTTGTACAAATGTTTCTGTTTGGTTGACAAATCAGAGATCTGGTTATGAAAAGTAAGTGATAAAATGGAGAGGAAACAAATGTTTGTTTGAATATTACACAACATATCTACAATATGTAGATATTTTCTTTCTGAAAATAATAAAGAGTTTCTACATTTCTTCTGTAAATAATATCCAAAGTCAGTTATCTCTGACGAAAGTGAAAAAATAAACTATAAACCTCAAACCTTCACATTTCTGTTAAATTCCTTAATTCACTTTGAAGAATAGAACATGTTGCGTAAACCAATTTGTGTGCTATCATAAGATTGGAATATATGGTAAACATATTAGGATGATTTAAAGTACTGTCAACTGTACACATTATTTTTAGATATTAAATTATGTGATTCAGATTTTGGATGATTTGTATATAAATATATTTAAAACAATTATTCCGTAATGGCTGAAGTGAATAAGTAACTAACAACGGATTTTACTTTTACATTTTATAACAATTGAAGTTCCACGTTTGCAAGAGTTACAAGACATATATTTTAACATCTCATATTGCGTGAGAAACCAGATTCTGTTCACCATAATGGTCAAAATAAGTTTTATTGTCCAACATAAACAGATCAGATTGTTGATCAAAATGCATGAATAGTGATCTGGAGCCCCCTCATGGTAGAAAGAGCTCAACACACACACACTGGATCTTGAATTCTGTGTGAAACATTTCTCTCTAGAAGTGAAAAATGTATGTAGCTATTTATAACTAACCTTCAAACTTTAATATTGAATATATTTTCTTTGGAAACTACGTATACTTCAGAAGGTTTTGTAAATTCTGTTAATTTCCCGGACTGTACAAGGCACAAAAGAAAGCGGAGCAGATATGTCAAGAATTTATTCGGACAAAATTGGTTGAGGGTCTGGAATAAAATACACATGGCACCCAAAGCCCATGAAGGTCCAAAAATCAACTCAAAACAACAACCGTCCATATTTCCAGTTATTAAAATCACTTCGTCCAACTCCAAATATTAAGGTACTCAATTACCTGAGATAAGTTTGCATACAAACCAAAGAGATTGAAATCAGCCATAGACCTCGAGGACACATATATATTTATATATTCAACATGTTTTAACAAATATTATTATAGCAACTTAAGGCAGATGGTTACATTTTGAAAGTATTTCATGTACAAAAAGACTTTGTAGGCCTCACATAAACAAAATGGTGGAATATTTATCAAATGCATCCATGAATTACACAGAGGCGATTACCTCCATAAAAACAATCGATGCAAAACAGAAAATGCTAATGCTGTACCATAAACGTTAAAAATCATTATAACAGACAGGTGTACAAATATTTTACTGAATTTGGGCTTTTTTTAGACATAAGGGCTGAGAAAAAAGTGATCTGACATTAGAGCTGCAACGATTAGACATTTGACAGAGAAATAAACACAAACTATTACTATAAACCTCTAATCTTTTGTTGTTGATGTTTTGATTCAAAAATGTAAACAAATGCATTTTTCCGCCTCTGAATATGGAGATGAACTGATAATTGTTTCGTGTTAGTTTTAAATATATTAAACCGACTGACAAAGTCCAAGATAATGTCTTTAAATACCTTGTTTTGAGGAACTGGAATGGACCTTTTTCAGTATTTTCTGACATTTTATAGTAATCATTTGTTTTAAAAATAATCAGCAGATGAATTAATGTAAATCATAATTAGTTGCAGCCATGTCTGAAAGTAACCAATAACTTTATTGTCCTGACAATTTTGGCACAAGTCAGATTTACGGTATTATATGGCACTGTTTTCATGTTATGGAATTTTCTGAGGTATCTGAAAAGTATCCTCAAAATAAATCCCTCCCAACAAGAGAGCAGATCTTTATCTTTCGTTATATAGTTGTGACAGTTGTATTCTTTGGTCCCTAAACCTTTGGCAGTCCTTTCCCTTAAGCATCGTTTTTTTTTGTTCAAGTTCTGACTCAAAAAGAAGCATGTTTTTCCTCAGGACCAACGATGTTCTCTCTGCAGAGCGACAGCTGTGTTCATTCTAACCTCAGAACACGAAACAAAAGGTTTTTTCTGCATCGCTGCACATTGAGAGGATAGGTCTTTGTTTTAAATGGTCAAAATGTTCCAAAGGGAAGGCGTGTGTAATGACAGGAATCATTCATAAGCAGCGTTACGGTTTAAATTATAACATTTTTCGTGTATGTTTACTTGGCACATTGACACTAGGACACTATAAGTGTGATAACATGTAGAAGCCTCTATAAGATGTTTTAAATATTGTAAAATTTCTTTGAGCATGTATTTATATTTAAAAAAGAGAACAAGATTTAAAAACGATTACATATTCAGTCTTTATATGGGAGAAAGTCACGTAAAACAGAGACTGGCGAGTTTCAAAGTGAGCAGTATTGCCTCAAAATAACCCCTCGTCCTGATCCTGTAAATCTACAAAGTGAAATGTGAAACAGTGGAGATAAATGCTGTATTGCTTAATGCCAAAGCTCTGATCTCCACACTCCATCACAACAAGTGTCACTGGCTGTGCTGTGTATCGTAGATCCTCAAGTGACGAGTGGTTATTTGAAGGTCATACTTTAAGGACACTACGTTGGAAAGGCAGCTTTGGCTCTAGCTGGCTCGGGTGTCTTCCTCTGTCTTTGTAAAACCGTCCTTTATGAACTGACCCTGTGAGGTGTGTGTGTGTGTGTCCGGCAGACAGGGGTGTTAAGTGAGCAGCAGCCTGATCTCTCGGTGGACATAGCACAGGAAGTCCATGTAGGAGGCTCCTCCGTGCAGACTCTTATCCTCCACCAGGAACTGACGGAACAACATCTCCGGTTTGTCCTTCTGCCGCACGATCTGCAGCTGAGAGGGGAAACATTTAGCATTTTAATAGCTGTGATTCATGTGCACTTTGATCCTCATGCTTTACAAAGGTACTCAGCCACTCACACGTTTTAAAAAAATGTAAAAGGTGACCTATTCTATATATCTGTATTTCTAAAATAATAGGATTAACATTCTTGAGAACTTTTATTACAACATGAAAACACATTATATATAATTAAAGGGTATTGTTGTTGTAGAACGTAGTTACCTACTATTTCCACTGGAGGGAGACACGGATCAATAACAGCTGGCTTTAATTTGCTTACATTTTCTTAGCTTACAAAATATACTCAAAGAAGAGGTATGCATGATTTATCAGGTGTTTATCAGCATATTGAGTATATTACCTTCATGGAGTTCGGCCTCTTCTCCATCAGGCCGCTGATGATGGAGCGGACCTTTGCGGACAGCGGGTTGTCCAGCTCTGGCAGAGCACTCTGAAGAAGGACAATAAGGTTATTTAAGTGAAAAATAAGACTTTTATAAGTCAACACATGTATAATAATTGAGGGTGTCCAGGAAAATGGATAGAGATGTTTTCATATGAGGAGGAGAAGCAAACAGATTAATACAAAAATGTAAGTTCCTTTTTTTTGAAAAACAAAAAACGTCTGCCACCTTTGAAAAATGTTTGCTTCCTTTCTTACTAACTTCAAAATGAATGTCCTTCTTTAAACTTTGTGTAAGGTATACGTTATCAATAAAAATATTGTTGGCTATTTTTAGAAAAACGTGTAGAGTTGATCAACTACTTGGATGCTTAACATAAATCATATTGGATCAAATCATGATAAGATGTTGAAATGTTATTATGATTTCAATCTTTGTAGATTATTGAATCATTTAAATGCGAACTTGTCGAGGCATCATCACATTCTCCCCAGACACCACAACATTTAAAAAATGTCTCCCCTAACATCTAAAACATGCCCAGGGTTTCCCACAAATAGACTTTGTATATTAACGTCCGCCAAAGTATATTTCACGACCCATTTCAGTTTTCATTTTTTGTATCCGTCCGCAAGCACGACGCCATCTGTGATCGATTAACCACCCCGCCTGTACCTGTTCACTCTGCTATCGTGTGAAGGGTCTGCTTCATGCGCTCCGCAGTCACTCCGCTGCGAGGCTCCGGCGAACAGTTCATGAGCGTGCTCTCCCACCCCCCCCCCCGTTCTCGGCTACCACCACAAGTATATTTCAGATCTGTGGGAAACACTGAAGCCATTTCATTAGTTTCTTCCTATATGTTTATGTTAAATGAGCTCTGACCATGTTTCCCTGCAGGTGTGCCAGGGAGGGCACGTTGAAGAGGCTCTGCACGATGTCCGGAGGGCTGCCCAGGCCCAGCCACAGGAACATGGATTGTCCGTTCTCCAGCAGGAACATGCCGGACTCCGAGAGGCGCTCCTCGGAGCATCGCACCGGAGCGGGAAGAGCCTCGCTGCCCACGTCCAGGTTGTGCTGAAAACACAGGTTTATTAGAGGACATTAAATGTATTGATGGCTATTGATAGATCTCTTGAGTTGATATCCTCATGGTTGAATTGCTGTTCTTTTAGGATGAAGTGTAAGCTTCATTTAACGTGTGTTTGTGTCCCTCACCAGTGGGGTGAGGCGTGGGTAGAGCAGCAGCTGTGTGTCCTCCACCCCCATGGCCATGATGGAGAGCCTCTGGTGGGCGCGGTCGTCGGTGGAGAGCTCCGTGCTGCCAACCAGAGGAGCGCTCTTCATCAGGCTGTTCATGTAGACCGGGAACACCTTCATGGCGTCAGGCAGGATCAGCTGCATGTGGAGAAACTCTGATTAATTTCTGAGAGACACATTATTTTGTTACAGACACAACATGTATTGTACCACATAAGTACGTCTTTGGATCCTAAATTGAACACATTCCCTCCCAGGGGTGGTGCGGCTCTGACCTGGCTGGCAGCTGAGGGGGTGGCGCAGTTCTTCCTGTAGCAGGACAGCATGTGGGCCGTCTGGTTCACCAGGATCTCCCGCACGTTCTTCAGCGGCTGGTTCAGTATGGCACGGCAGGCTGAGTGCAGGAGAAAAAGAGGTTAGTGAAAAGACCAAATAGCAACGAGGATAACTAGGGGAGTGTAACGGAGGAGAGGAGGAGATGTAAAGAGGAGGCAGCTGAAGGTCAGGAATAATACGGCCGTACTTAAAGCCGCTCAGTGTCAGCTGTGCTTTATGTGAAACATGTGCTCCTTATTTCCACAACTCATCCCTCTTCTACGAATAAATCCAGGAGTTTTAGTAGATTATCCAGTGATGCATGGGGTCAACTCAACAAAGGTCAGAGAGGATGATACTGCATTCCATCAGCACTGTGTGATAAAGAATGAATCTGCTTGTATATCATGAGGGATAGGCTTTTCTACATTTGGCTAAACTATCTGTGAAAGTGTACCCTTTAAATGAAAGTTCTTAAAGGTGTTCAGTCACCTGATTTGGCAAAGAAGTTGATGAGAGAGTCTGTCTCGCAGCTCTTGTACAGCTCTGACAGTTGCAAGCTGCAGTTCAGACTGAGGTTGTGGATGCGGAGACGTCGTTGTCCGTTGATGGTGGTGTACAGCAATGCACACTGGGAAACACAGTCCAAACATTAGATATAACCAAACCTTTGAGATGTAACTTCAAACTGTGATTATTCTAAAAAAGATACACACCTGCATGAGTGCTCCGGTCTCCTCGCTGAGTGTGTCGTCGTGTTTGAACTCTACGGTCAGAGCCTTGTCACAATCCACCGCCGCCATCTCGATGTCTGTGGTGTTGTTCATGTGGATCGCTCCGAAGAACTCTGTGGCTCTGAACCCTGAGGAAACACACACATACAGTAGATGTAGATTACTGAGAGCTACTGAGTACTCTGGTACAAATGCAAAGTGGTAAACGCTGCTCACCTGTGCTGGTGCGAACACGCATGATGGCGTCAAAGCCGATGCTCTTCTGCACGTCTTTCCTCAGGTCTGTCAGGAAATGCTCCCCATCCGTCTCCACCTGACAACATGCAGATCATAAGCATAACATATTACATGTGGATACACTTTAACCAGCAGATGGCAGTATATTCACAAAACCTGTGTCACAGAAATGTCATTTAGATGATTGACTGAATGCTAAACCCATCATAATACATCAAAAGGTATTAGTTGATTTACATGGTGTAGAAGTATATAGCAGCATGAAATGAGAAATATTAAAGTAAGGTACAAGTATATGTGTGTAGTTACTTTACACCACTGTACTGCCTTTGTATGTACTGTATGTGCTGTGTGTGTACAGTTTGGAGTAATTTCCCACGCTTGATGCAGCATTCCTATGGGACAGGTCTATAATAGACTCTGAAGTTATTATGTGAATTGAAGCCGGCGTCAAATTGCTTGAGTCTGTAGATTTTCTATGTTTGTTTTTAAACCTACAGTAAGTTCATAAAGTTCCAGCGTTAAAGGAAAGTTAGGAACTTTAAATGATTCTTAGAGAATGAAGTACAAAGCAGTCCAAATCCTTCTGTGTGTCTTGCATGTTTTATCTGTGTGTGTGTTTTCAGTGCTGAATGTTGTACCTGGAAGTTGTTGTACTTGTAGACGGAGCCTCCGGTGTGTGAGGGCACGTCAGCCATGGTGGCCACGTCCACGTACTGACTGGGGAAGAGGAAGAGGTCCACACAGCAGCCCTGCGCCACACAATCCTTCGACAGCTGCTCATACACTCCTTTCTGAGGCTGGAACAACGTCTATGGAATAAACAGTAAGTCAGCATTTCCCTTTCCAATTTCAAGCTCAAAGATAGCATCGAACTGACTCCACTCTTGCTGATTTGACTCACTGCCAGCAGTCTGTATGTGGAGTTCAAAATAAACTTTAGATATGATTACAACAAGCTCATTACTTTCTCTTTGTCGGTGTTCACCAGCTTCTTGTCGTCCCTGTTCTTCAGTTTGCCCGGAGCCTCGGCGGTGGGCATGGAGGAGTGGAAGATGAAGAGCTTCCCGCTGCACTCTGCTGCCTGCAGGAGAGGAAATGCCTTTTAAAAGAAGATCACATGAAGGTGTGCAGCTCATATCTTTACCATGTGGTCACACTCCTGCAGAGGATTAGATTCCCCCTTGATAATAATACACTTTACCGAAAAGGTAAAGCAGTACCCAGATAAATAAATAGGCCACAGTCTTTTTGCTGTTGCCACAACTGCTTCCAATTAAAAGCTGTGTGTGAACTTTTCCTTCGCTGTGCGCCAAACACTGACCTCATATTACTGGGAAAGTGTGTTAGCTTTAAAGTAAACAAAAACATATCAGAAACATTCAAACAATCTGCCATGCTTATTCAGTTTGGATCACTGAGATGTGTGTTTTGGCTCCACTACATGTTATTTGAACCCATTAGTATAGTGATTAACAATGAACAAAAATGAAGAGATCAGCGTGTTACATGGAAAAACACTGTTGCTAATCACATGTGGCTTATCAGATAGGAAGCTCCCAACTGTGCTTAAGACCTTTGGACCGTCACTTCCTGAAGATCAGCAGGCTTGGGGCGGTAACAGAACCGGAATCAGAAAATCGTGTTACAGAAATAAAAGATAAATCAGGGAACTGTTACATATACTGATAATTAGCAGGATTACAATTATGAAATAAGGAATGATAAAACTGTCATGCAAACATACGGTATTACAACACACATGTTAGTGATTAGTAATGCTTTCACTGATTGGAAATGTTCAGTTATTTTGTCTGTAAAGCAGAATGTTTCTAGTTCATCAAGATGGTTCCTTCAGTATGAAAAGATGGTCGTAGGGAATGAGCAACCTGCTTCAAATTTCTGCTCCACTAAACATAATATCTAACTTCAATGATGTGACACTTGGATTAGGTTACTGACTACATTTCTAACAAGTAATTAGAACAATATTCTTCAAGCAAAACTAGAGAGTCTGCACTTCATGTTGACAGCTGTCACACTGGGCTGACCTTAAATGCCTCCACGCCGGCCTGGATGACGGGAACAAAGACTGTCTCACTCTCGTTGGAGTCTGCAAACATATCAGGGATCTGATCCAGGAGGCTAGAGGAGGAGAGGAGGAGATTATGTTAAACACCTTCACAAGTCTGGTTATTATTATATATAATTATGGAGATTTGTTAATCTCCATAATAAACACAACTTTTCTTTGCTGAATTAAACTTCATACAACTGCCTGTTTCTCTCCCAGATAAAACGTTCTTCCTTAAATAAATAAGATGTTTCTTACTTGTAGATAACGGCTCTGGAGTCCTGATAGTTGACGAGGAATCCGTCGAGCAGGGGGACGAACATCTCCGCTGTGTCCGACACCACCATCATCTGCGGCTGGGCCAGAGCGCTCTTCACGTTGTAGAAGTGGAGCACCTTGTTGTAGGTGACGAAGCCCACCTTAATGGCGGAGCTCTCCGAGCCGTCCTCACTGGAGGGGGAGAAGAAGAACTTCAGTCAGCTTTCAGGTAAGTCTCACTGAATAACTGCTTTCGGACTTTGTATAATAATAATAATAATAATAATAGCTTCGATTTCTATAGCGCCTTTCAGGGGACCCAAGGTCGCTTAATATATTCGTATATAAGAGATAAACCTCCTCATATTCAACAGAACACTAACTTTGACCAAATATGTTCATCATCCTCGTACTTTAACACTAAGGAACGTGTAATATGATTAAAGATGAAACCCTTTTAAGGTAATATGCCACTGAACCTACATTTTCTATATGAATAATAGTCACAGGTGTCGTTAGAAATACGTGATTCAGATTGGATTTGTGTATTTCCTTCTTTCTCAAATGTTACTGAAACATACCAGAGATGATTTATGAGAAATCTGTCTTTACTCAAGCAAGGATCTAGCGTTATCTTGAGAGAATTAAATCTGTATTTGGAAGTTCTTCAGAACCACATGAACTTTATAAAAATGCAGTCTGTCCAAATGCATTAATTTAGTGTCTGTAAAAAAAAAAAGTACAGCTTTAAACAGTTGAAAAGGTTGATCTGCAGTACACTTATACTGAAGTGTTTCAGGGTGATGTCATGGCAGCAGAATAATGTGGATAAATTGCTGCTGGCACAAATGAAGGAGTGAGGAAAGAAGGTTTTCTAGTTATTTTAGGAGTCACCAGGTGAAGTTTTCTGAAGAACAAAGCTTCTTGTTTTGCTTTAAAAGATGTAAGAATGAAACATATTCGAGTAATCCATTTTCAAATCTGTTCTCTAGTTTTCTCTCCTGTGTTTGACTCAAACAGGTGGGAATTTTCCTTTTTGCCAAGATAATCTTCCTAAATTCTGTCTAAGAGAAATTGTCTGCCAAAAGTTTTTTTCCCCCACCTCTGTTTTTTTTACAGAACTAAGGAAGATTATCCTGGCTGACAGGATCATGTTATGTTCTCAAGTCATAAACAAAGGACAGAAAACTGTTCAAATCTGACCTTAAAGATGGATGTTCTTCTCTCACTTGCCTCTCCACAGAGAGTAAAGGCTGCACTGTAATATGTTCCATTGTTGGCAGCCTTGGCACCCGTTCAACCGATACTCTGCTGAACTTCATGCAAGAATATTCAGCAGACGAGAACAAATAGTTGGCGTGGTGTTTGACTTTTTGTCAAGGCATATGTTGGAAGTGAACTGTTGCACTCAGTTCAACACGATGCATAGCAACTAATGCAGCAGATAATAAGTGTGTATGTGTGCGTGTGCGTGTGTGTGTGTGTGTGTGTGTGTGTGTGTGTGTGTGTGTGTGTGTGTGTGTGTGTGTGTGTGTGTGTGTGTGTGTGTGTGTGTGTGTGTGTGTGTGTGTGTGTGTGTACCATGGCAGATTGTCCAGCAGAGTCTTCAGCTCATCACAAATCAGTTTGACCAGTCCACTCTTAACGTTGTTATAGGACACATCGATCATGAAGAGGTAGGCAGGAGGATTTTGAACCTTGTTGTTCTGCAGGAGAAGGCAACAGGAGTAAATAATTAGTAACTATTATAAAATCCATGCAAACTTGACAGACATGCAGCTTAACATACCTGCTTTCCAAATAGGAAATGTGAAAAAGTTAAGCTCCTGAAAATTATTTCTTGTTTCAGTTCCATATTTTCTAATTTAAAGTCTTAATTGTACCATATCAGAACCTGGGGCCTACCCTCATGCTTTCCCCCTTTATTGGCTGTAAGTCCCAGGTATTTGGTGTCCGTTGGTGCTTGTTTATACCTTGCAGTAACTGTGAGGAGACCATGACCGGTGGATGGTCCTGAATGCAGGGCAATGAGTGTGTGTGTGCGAGGGGGATTGTCATGAAGACATTGTTGCGACTGTGGCTGTGAGGGAGTGCGGTCGTCTTTCAACCAGAAGGTTGTGGGTTCGATCCCAGCCCATGCAGTCAACATGTCGATGTATCCTTGGGCAAGATACTTAACCCTGAGTTGCTCCCGATGGCATGGCCAACGGTGTGTGAATGTGTATGCATGTTAGGTCCTAGAGTAACATACACTGCTCTGTGTGAATGGGTGAAAGACATGTAGTATGTAAAGCGCTTTGAGGGGTCTTAAAGACTGGATAAAGCGCTATATAAGTACAGTCCATTTACCATTGTTATGTTTCCACAGTTACACTCCATGACAATACAATCACCTTGCAGGCTTTTTGTTTAAGAGCCGCCCTGTTTATAAGTCTGAATAAACAGAGGTAAAGTGGGCCAGGGGAGTGACTCAGCTCTGCCAGCGTACTCAACTCTGTTTTTCACCAGCACAGCCTTCAAGGGATGTGCACTTGATTGACTTTGCTGTCTTTCTATTGTTTGCAAAACAACAATAACTATCTTTAGCAGCTCATTATGAATAATGAAGGGTCCTTCAGAAAAATCAGTAATGCAGTCCTGACTTGTATTGGACAGACTTCTATAAAAACTAAACAAATAAAGTGTTAAATCCTCTATGCCTAAAGTCTGTTTTACACAAGCAACAATCTCAATTTGAAGATTCACTGATTGCAATTTGTTTGCCTATTCTTTGATTTTTCTAAAGTTTGACCCAACATTTCTAAAAAATATATATTTCTAGGAGCTGTAAATGACATCATACACAACATTTTAGGGGTTGTTCATTCTTGGCTTATTTTGATCTTGCAGATGTTACAAATTGCTTAATGATCAATGTCTTTTTGACTCGTGCTCGTCCACACTGTAAGCATGTTGCGTGTCGCTGTGACGTTACTGCCAGTGCCCTTGCATGTGCACCCTAAAAACATCATGTGGAACATGTGCTTACATTTGACTAGCGATCATAATTACAGTAACCACTTATGACAGATCAGCTGACAACAGTATGGTTTGATCAGATTTTGATCTCATTCAAAGTTGTGTTTCTATCAACTGTATCCCCTCTGCATGATGTGAATAGAGCAGTAGTAGTCCTTTACCTTGCAGTAGTCCAGGGTGGCGGCAAACTCGTAGGAGCCCAGGGACAGCTCTGGCCTCTCGTAGAAGTCTACCCTCCTGCCCATGTGGTCCAAATGTTGGAAGTAGAAGGCTGGCACTACAGTAAGACATAGACATGTAATTAACAACAGAACTGTGCGCTATACGATTGGTTTCTCGCTCATTATATGAAATCTTATGTCTTCTTAACATGTTAAGAATGATGTAGCTTGCATGGCGCTCTACCTTCATTGACACAGTTGCAGAAGCCACACTGGAAGCGACGCCCTCCGTCAATAAACTGCATGTAGGGACACATGTAGGCTTTGCATCGATTGCAGCGGATCGGGCCGGTCTCACCATGGTTCACAACATACAGAGGAGTCTACACACACACACACACACACACACACACACACACACACATTTTCAACAGCTGTTCCTACATCACATGGGGACATTGTGTTTTAAAAACTCTTCCTTAAAAGCAATACGATAAGGATCATGGTTTATGTCTTTTTTGAAGGGTTTCCCATGCGCAATAAAATATGTACTATTACCCCCATGTCATCTGTGCAATGTCTGAAGCATCAGTGATTCCATGGCACCCACAAAAGACATGTTGCACTACCATATAGAGAACATTTGTTCAAAGTGAATTCCTAGCATGAAGCTGTTTAATGCTACAGCACTGTTATTGAGTACTGTACACAGCCCTGCTCATGACTGTTAACAATATTTACTTAAGAGTCCCTGCAGAATAAAAATGCCTCCAACTATAATAAAACACATGCCGACAAAGGAGCAAGTTTTGTATGTGTATTTTTAGACTGGAGAGTAAGTGTTTACATTTTTCTGTGCTTTTACCGTGCAGAAAAAAAACCTGTTGCATGGCAAAATAATGAAAACAGCATCCTAACACAACAGCATCCTTTTAAAGTTATAAATCGAAACTCAGAACATTGATTAAGTTTGACAATGTTGGTATAAATTATGCTCCATGTTAGAATAGATGGATTTCAATCTGAGAGTGCAAAATACTTCAGATTGATTCCTGTTGTACAAACTCTCCCTGTAGTTCTGACATGAGCTAATTAGCCTCTGGCCAGATGAGAGAAAGCTAACATTTCCTAAAAAGGCTAATAAGACATGGCGAGTGTGGGGGGGAGTTTCTACAGAGGGATTTTTGGACCACATACGATCCAAAAGGAGGTCATTCACAGGACAACTTAACTTGTGTAGTGCACAGAGACATCTGTTAAAGAACCAGAACATTTCCCTCAGTTTGAATCCTTTTTCAAATGTAAAAAACTAAAGAGTAAACAAACCATACATTAAGGCCTTAACTATTTGCTGAACATGACTTAAAATTGGCATTTATCATTTCCTGCAAGAGATGGACTTAAATGTGCTTATTCACAACAATTCCACAAGGATCTATTGAATCTTTCAGTATACATGGCAGGTTACAATGTATTGTTGATTATTAGAACTTTTTAGACTTAGAAAAGGTTAAACCTGACTTACCTCATTCTTGGGCACACTGGCGAAAGGTTTGATGATGGCGGCCAGCGGAACTTGGCACTGTTTGGCCAGGTCTGCGGTGCAGGGCAGGGAGTAGGTGGTGCAGCGGATGAACCGGGGGCTGGCGTTGCCTGAGATTAGCAGAAAGAAGGTCAATGACTTTGACACTTTGACACAGCACATTTCTGTTACAACTTACTTAGTGTCGATTGCTACTTAATCATGTTTAACTTGCCTTTAACGAAAGAGTCTACATTTTGAGCAAAAGCCTATAAAGTACATACGACCAATGTAAAATGACTGACACGTACACATGATGTTTAGACATTTTAGAATACCTTTTTTAAATAATATATATTAAGACAGTTTTAATACATGGATGCACACCCACAGCACGCTACAGATGTGCAAAAATATACACAAACAAATCATACAAATATGAAGTAAATGGAGAGAAGTTGAACTGTGAGATACCTTGGTCCTGTATGGGGAACTCAGTGGTGACCAGCGGGGGAACCTGTCCTCTGATGTTCGTGTTGTACACCTGTCCCCCTCGTTTTGCTTGGTCATCCTCAATGACTTGAGTCTAAAGAAGACACGCTATGCTTTTCAGTATAATCTCATTTCTCTACAGTCACAGCTTAAGTACATGGCAATCAAAATAATACAATCGGCATCAAGTTTATGTTTTCTTCCGCTTGATTAATATGCCCAAATGTGAATAAATGTTACCAAAAGAGATGACGTAAACCTTTTGAGGAATGATTAAGCTAATGGTTCAAGTCAGAAAATGTTCAGTGATGTGTGTATGTCGTTATGTGAAGGTATGCAGTCCCAGGAGGATTAGTGTTGTACTCACGGTGCTGGGGATAGAGTCAGGGTCCAGTTTCTTCTGTGGTGGTCCTGCCAGTCCGCCTGCTGATCCAGGCTGAGGCCCCATCATGCCAGGCTGAGGCCCCATCATACCAGGCTGAGGCCCCATCATACCAGGCTGAGGCCCCATCATGCCAGGCTGAGGCCCCATCATGCCAGGCTGAGGCCCCATCATGCCAGGCTGAGGCCCCATCATGCCAGGCTGAGGCCCCCTCATGCCAGGCTAGGCCCCATCATGCCAGGCTGAGGCCCCATCATGCCAGGCTGAGGCCCCATCATGCCAGGCTGAGGCCCCATCATGCCAGGCTGAGGCCCTGCCATGCCAGGCTGAGGCCCTGCCATGTGTCCCCCAAACTGACCTGCACATGAAAACAGATTCAGATTTCTAAACCTAATTATTATCTATTAGCTGTTGTTATTTTATGTATGTCAAGCATGAGATTTCTCCCTGTTGCAGGGAAGATTACAAAAACTGGGAGTGATTGGTCTTGATTTATTTGATGGTCTGAACCTTTTCTGCTTCACAGTGTCACAGTACCTGCTTGCTGGGGGTATCCAGTTGGACCAGCAGGTCCAGGACCAGGCTGCTGGAAACCTCCGGGGCCTGGAGGAAGGGGGCCGGGAAAGGGTCGACCCATGCCTGACATGGGGGGGCCTCCCATTGGTGGTGCGGCCATTGGGGGGCCTGCCATTGGGGGGCCTGCCATTGGCATGTTTGCTTGGGGAGACTGTGGAGCAGACATGTGGGGGGACATGTGGGGGGACTGTGGTCCTGGTGGCATCATCGGCTGGCCCATTGCTGGAGGGGGTGCTGGTTGGAAAGGCTGCTGGGCAACAGAGTTTGTTGGAGGGGGGGGGCTCTGCATAGGACCCGAGGCTACAAAAAGATGGGGAAAAAGAAAACCCATCAGGTGAGTACTGTGCTGTTATTTGCTTGAGGTTTAGCAGTATGATCTGTAAAACAGTTCATATCAAACTTACCATAGCTGCCCAGGTTCATGGTACTCATCTGATTGGTGAGCTGCTGAGCTGGAGGGGGGGCCGCGGGGGCCATGTTGTTGTACTGCGACTGTGAAGGCTGTCCATAAGAAGCAGGAGTAGCTGGTGGAGGGTATCTGAGGAATACAGGGGCATTTATTATGAATTTACAGCATGTACAGTGCAGTCTGTTGATGTGCTTAAAACCTAAAGCTGTTTCACATTTGAACTCAACCTCGTATTATCCATCATTTGTAAATATCTTGTTTCGTGTACTGTACTTCAACTGACATGTTTGCACAATTCAGAGAGCCATGCAGTTGCTGTTTAGTGAAGATTCTCACCTTTGTGGATGTGCGCCGTTCTGCTGGACATTTGGATTGTACTGACTGGGCGCTGCAGGTGGAGGCATCCCAACTGCAGAGGAGACTGGTGCCTTCATCATACCTGCAGTGAGAAACAGACAGTGAGTACAGTGTGTTTATATGGCCTGCATCAGAGGTAAATCCATTTTAGACCAAAACCAAAATTGATTTGTGAGTGAGCTCAGGGTTGTTAGAGGGTCAGAGTTTAGTATTCAGGTAGAGAAAGTTAGTTTGAAGCTAGTAATGACCAAATTAAAGAAATTCAGTAGATGCTTTTTTGTAAAGAAAGCATGTTCCTGATCTAGGGATTTGTTTGCACTTCAGTCACACAGAGCTTGCCACTAGTTGCTATTTGTTGCTAGCTGATCATGCTAGCAACAAGATTAGACTTGTCTTTTGAGGAAACATTAAACACACAGTGGTTTTGCTCTACCTGTTGGTGGACCGTTGAATGTCTGAGGCGGACCCCCATAGTGCCCATAGAGGGGCTGTGCAGGACCAGCTCCGAACCCACCCTGGTAGCCCCCCATCCCGGGCTGGGCCTGGGAGTACGGGGGTGCAGCAACATAACCCTGTTGACTCATCTTGATGGGATGTTACTGTCTTCTCATGCCAGGATCAATGAGTTGGCAACCTGTTGAGTCAAAAAGAGTCACGTTGAATTATAAGGGGCCACAACTAATGGTTATATTGTAATTGAGTGCTTCTAATTAATTTGGACAACAGTAGACTTAATTAAGTTTGTTTCCAAACCACTGATATTGCAATAGACATTTTCTGTGGTAACACAACCATCTATTTATCTTTTTCACAGCTCTGGCATGTTTGAAAAGACACAACTGATATTTGACCTCATGTAATCATCAACACTCGTGTAACATGGACCTTTGGCATTGCTTCTTGAGAGATAAAGAAAGGCCTATCCTTACTTGAATTATCTTCAAGTAACTGCATGGCTTTCTGTTTGGCTGTCAGAGCGACGATCCAATGTCATCTGCCTAATTCCTTACATGTAAATAGCACCATTATAGGCCTTAAATTAAAAAAGCCTTTTCACAACAAAAGTCTTTAAAAGCAAAGGTTCTGTAAACTTTTCACTAATACAAGGTGAACTTTGGCACAGCTGGGTCAACACAAATAACAGCTGCGTACTGACAACTCCATCAAAGCCCTTTAATACAGGATAATACATCAATTTACGACGTTTTACCCTAAGTAAAAAGCATAAAATAGCAACAGTTGGGCTTGGTAAATTGTTCAGTTAAATAGTTAATCGTTTATGCCACTTCCTATAATTGCCACGTCAAAGACCGTTATGTATGATAGCTAAAGATTTGAGCATCCCTGCTTTATTCAAATTACCTCCCAGTTGTAGGAACACACATGATATCCTCTGTGTGGTAACATATGTTGGCTGTGACAAACATTTAAACACCTGATATAAAAGAGTAAGATGCCAGCACAGCACCTCGTACAGTGTTGATTACATGTTGATAGGAAACATCTTGCTAGCTACGCGGAAATTACTACAAAGTTGTTCCTTTGGCACAAGAAGAAGCACATTGATTTCAAACACATACAAATACATAATTAAACCTATTGGCTTATAGGTGTTAATATAGTAGTTGGGGTATTTACCTGAATACTGGGCAGAGTCCTCTCCACGGTTCTCTGTGAAAGCAGAGTGCCACGTCAAACTCACCAAAGCGCCGGTCGCTACGCTACTTCTGTCAAAAACAAGGTTTCCGGTTGCGCATTTCAAAGTAAAATCTTTAATAACGTATAACAGTTAGTACACGATATAAATGACACAAACAAAATACTCGTTTCTAAAAATTACCCTTTTTAGTTTAGTGAGTTGGTTAGTTAACTTTGTAAGTTTAATAAAACAATTTAGACGTTCTGTACGCATAAATATTAGTTTTAAAACGTTTCATTATGCTTTTATTATGAAATGTAAACAATGGATTTTCCTGCTTTAGTCGATGTGTTTTTAGCTAGCTTGTGTCTGACGCAGTACGCATGCGTGGAAGCGAGGGAACCCATACACGTCAGCAAAGGGATGTGGACCTGGAGGTTTCATTATTATAATTACAGATTTTTCACTCTGTTATAATTAATATACACCATAGAGTGCTTTTTAAATACATGGATAATGACCGTTGAAGAAAATGATAACTGTTTGACAAAAGTGTTGATTTGCCAAGGATAGTTAAAGTTATAGGTCCACACAACTTGGTGCTATGTCTTGGGATTTGATAAAGAGAAATTAACCCTATACACACAAAAATCAAATGTGCAGTGAGTCTTAAAGTGTGGTCCAGGAACTCCGAGGTTTAAATTAAAATCTCATTTGTACAGCTCCTTTCATTCAGGATAGTGCAGTTTAAAGTGCTCCACAGGTATGACAACCCATGCATAATACAGAACAAGTGACTACATCGACAAAAAGAATAACAAATCAATAATTTGGCTAATTATGACCAATGCACGAGATAGTAATACAAATGTAATAAAATACATACATAACAGTTAAACAATGTGAAATATAAACAAGATTATTAAAAATAAGAATAACATTTTACAAATTAAATAAGTGATTCTTAAAAAAAACATTTTACGACCAAAGAATAAAACAAGTCAAATAAAATGTGTAAAACAAAAATGCCATTGCCCCCTGCCAGTTTTTATGTTGTTGGCTTCATAGTTCAACGAACAATATTTCGATTTTCTCTAAACTCTAAAATAGTGCCTATATCACGTTTTAATAAGATAAATTGTACATCATTATGTTATTGCCACTGCAGGAACTTTTTTTTTTTAATAAGATGGAATCGCATAACATCCTGAAGTTGCTATCTTTAAGACTACCGGATGTACCCTTTTAAGAGGCTTACAATAGTTTTTAAAAGTATCATGTAGTAGTTATTTAGTGTTTATTTGGATGTCATAGCTCGGGTATGTGAATGGTTCCTCACCATAACAAACCAGTTGCACGCGGTTTGAGTAGGCGGGTCCTAGCGCAGTGACGTCTCCTCAGCGGGCTGGACTCCTGCAGGACTCAGAGGATGGGGATTATACAGCTGTGTGCTGGAGGAGGTTCTGCAAAGTGCTGCTGGTCCGGCTGACAGCTCCATGATCTCTCGGTGGAGGTTCGGCTGAGGAGCTGTGTGCAGCATGGGCACCGGGGACTACATCTGCGTGACTCTGCGGGGGGGTGCACCCTGGGGCTTCACCCTGAGGGAGGGAGAGGGGGACACCTACAGACCCTTCCTAATCTCCCAGGTATCTATCCATTTTCCCATCTTTCAGGATTTTAACAGACTTTTGGTATTGATAAGTCATTTCTTCTTCCTGTAAATGCTTTGGTATTTGTGTGGGAAATATCCTAAACATTGTAGAGTATAGTAGTATTTAGTTTGGATACAAGTATCATATGGTTTTGATGTTGAGTAGTTCAAAGATAAATGTTAATTTTCGTAGCAGCGTGTGTGTCGCTGCATTCTTGTGAGCGTTGGCTGTGTTTTGGTGAGAGATTCCTCTGGACCCTTATATGGTCAAGGCCAAGAGAGAGTGTGAAGCTGAGGGCAGAATGATCTGTTATCACTCACACAGACTTTGCAAGAAAGAAAAACATTATTCAGCCAAACCTGAAGAGTGAGGAGTGTGTGCATAATGCATAAATGAAAACAAGCAAAAGTCAGATAAAACTCAGCTGATGTCACTTTAAAAGAGAATTAAAATAACGTCAGAAAGGAGGTTAAGCAAATTATAGATTATTTTATAACTACGCTGCTTTGAATAAATTATATCGTCGTAGCATAATAAACCTTCTATAAGTAGCTGTAAAGTATCTCATTTTCTTATTATGCATTACAATATATTGCAAGGACATCATTTTGAGACAGTATAAATTGAAATGTTTTTATAATGGCATTATTCTATTTAAACAGAACTTGCGAGTACATTTTTCATTCTATTCACATCTTTTTTAACTGTTTACAACCTAATAATCGGCTGTAATTCAGTTCTAACTGTAAACTGTAGGCATGATTTAGTAGGCTAGTCCTTTTGACACACACTGTTGAATCTTATTTGCTTTTTGAACTGCATTCATATGTCTACTTCCTCTTAGTCAATTAGTCAACTAATTGGTGGCTTAGCTCTATGATTTGTTTAGTTGTTGAATAATTAATTAATGTTTTTTTTCATGCTGAATGACTTATTTCTACAAAACGTACACCTCTGCAAAACACAATATTTACAGTTCTTTGTGGAGAAACTCAATTGAATAGATCTGTTCATTATACATTTCTGTGTTAGTCGACATAATTCATTTTTGGATAGCCCTCAATCATTTAATATTCTGTAGTCTGCTTATCTTCTGGCCTACATATCTTCCATGATAATATATTAATTATTTTTGCAGAATATATTGCATTTGTGTAAATGTATAGACGATAAAAACTCCCAATACATTAGGTTACATTCAAAAGTTTTAATGTGCTCTCCTTATATCAAAATGTTTAATGCAGAAATAAAGACAGATGATGCTTTGATATATCAGGCTATGATGTAAATATGCATTGACATAGGTATATGTGCCTTTATCTCTATATATGGTATACCATGCATGTCCAGGAGTGCTCACGCTGTACAGATTCCTCGTCAACCTGTTCTCTGTGTTCTGAACGTGTAAATGTTTTTCTTATGCTGCATTCCTGCGACATCAAAGCTCCTCGAGCAGAGAGCCCGCTGAAAGCTTCCATAGATCCTTCTCAGGACACACTCTACAACTCTAACTGACATTTACTGACATTTTTGTTTGAATATAGATAGTATTTCAACATTTGTTGGCCTGAAATAGTCCTTTCTAACTGAGTAAGTGGACACACATCCCCTGACGCTTCAAAGTAGCTACAACACATGACAGGACATTTAATTGATTCTGGGTAGATTATATCACAATAAAAACAGATGATAAATGTTAGTTGTATGTGATGTTAGTCTCTGTTTCCAAAAGTTGTATTGAACTTTATTAACAAAATGACAAAAAGACAGAACCACAAATGTAGGCTGCAGAACAATTTCAACATTGAATATCTTTCTATCACAGCAATGTGTCCTTTGAGTTTCAAAGCAAGCTTTCAAGACACTTTTCTATCTATATATTCTCTAAATATATTATAACTACAAAATAGCTGCACAAGTGATGATTATTTGGCAAAACAACAGTAAAAGTCTGTCCCCATATTGGTGAATGCCCCAACTTCTATTGTTTCAGTGTTCTTTTTTTCTTAAAACTTGACTCATTTCATTTAATTTCAAACCTTTATTTAACGAGATTGGTCCCATTGAGATCATAGATCTCTTTTTCAAGGGAGACCTGCAGCATATAGGTTCCACATGAAACATAAAACAATAAAGGATATTATACATTATATTTACAGGATACATTTACATACTATTTTCTATTTTTGGACATAATACTGATGTTTTAAGAGTGTCTTGAATACACTGCATATAGGTGATGACCTTTTAAAGTGAAGTAGCTATATGATGCGTCAGTGTTTGGAATCAGGGGTTTAATCCACGTCATCTTGAAGGCATAACTCTGAACATATCTCCAAACTCTTCCTGTTGGAAATACAGAGAGTCTGTTAGCTTAAAGTGTAAAAAGCAAACACACCAACATCCTGACAGATTTTCTTTAGCTGCAGGCTCTCCTGTGTTTTGTAAAGCTTCAGTTGAGTCTAACTGTGTTGTTTTCTGAGAGAAAGTGAATGTTCAGACTGTGCAGTGTTAGGGCACAGGGTATCCACTCCTTAAAGCTTCTCTCCATATAAGGGAGCCATTATGTTTCTTCTTCTTTGGAGTCCTGGCCTCAGTACTAAGTGGATGAGGTCACTTTATTTTTTAAAGCTGCAGAAACTACACAATACAAGACCAATGACCAATACCCCTTCAGAAAAACATGGAAATATTTACAGCTGATGTACAGTGTAATGCTTGTTTTAGTTGTCTCAGCAAAAGTGAAAGTACTTGGATGTAATCTGTTTTAATAAGAAACAGATATCTCTTAAATCCTACCAACAGGATACATGTTGGCCTCCAATTACTGAGGTATGCCTTCTTGGGATGTGGAATGTCAACATGCATCAAATCAGTTAAGGCCAGTGAATAAAGAAAAAGTAATGCAAGTCTGAGACTTCTTAGAAGGTATATAGGGCAGAGACTAACATTATTCTCATTATTATCTAACTTCAACATGACTTTATTTTCTCAAAGTGATGTGTCTGAACGTCTTTTGTTTTGTCAGTCAAAAACATATAGATATTCACTCTATTATAATATGAAACAGAAAAAATTGCAAATCTCCATGATTGAGAGGCTGTATATTGTTATTTGCGCATTTCACTTAACATCTAATAAAAATACAAATTTACAATTTTTTTAAAATTTAAAACATTTTTAGTGCATATTTAATTTAAATTAAATATTTAATCTGTAATCAATTTGATCTGGTTATGTTTTTTATATTCTAAAATAAGCCAACCAAATTCGATGCAGCAAAAATACACGATTAAAAAAAAGTAATTGGGGAAGAAAGTATTCTGATTTTAAAAACAGCATTTAAAGACATTTGCATGAAAAATGACTTTTAATCATTTATCTATAATAAAAATAGAAGATTATATATAAAGGACGCAATACACTTTTCGCAGCT